ACAGCAGCAGGAAAACTAAACAAAATTACATTTCCGAAATGCAGGGTAGACAACTACAGGGTAGACAACTATAGGCTAATATAAACATTTTAGGCACAGGCTAAAATATGTCTTTTTCTATCACAAATTTGCTGCAATATTTCACATGAAGTACTCTACTACACCTGCACTTATTCCTTACATCAAAATACACACATGTGACATGTGTTTCAAACAATTACTGTAATCATAATAATCAATACACATTTACCATTTGTCAAGTAATGTCCACAAATAATTTCAAATAACATAAAATCTGTTAACCTGTAACCATAATCTGTACAAAATCACAAACATCTGGTAACCTGAACCATTACAACATTTGAAATAGCAACAAAAGCTGAAACTGGGACTGGACATTTATAAAAAAAATTATATTCAGCAATATTCAGTAGTTTGCCATTGTACTTGCAGTCTCTAAAAATACAACTCCAGATCAGACAAACCTGGGATTGATATCATGAACAACACCCAGCCAATCAGGTCATGACGACACACACCCCAATAAACTCGAAAGTGAGTGAGTGAGTGAGTATGGTTTTACGCCGCCTTCAGCAATATTCCAGCAATATCACGGCAGAGGACACCAGAAATGGGCTTCACGCATAGTACCCATGTGGGGAATCAAACCCGGGTTTTCAGCGTAACAAGTGAACGCTTTAACCACTCGGCTACCCCTCCGCCCCACACCCATCAAGATAAACTGATCTAATTAGTTGCCTTTAACAAGAAGCATAGGTTACCAGGGACTATTCCAAGAACCCCCAGGGAGGAAAAGGTGTGATGGAATGAATCAATAGCAAACGTACTATTCTGATGGAACCGGCAGCATATAATGGCCTCTCTATTACACAACAGCCCTAATTGACAGTAATTGTCCCATCTCCTCGGACCAGCAGATGTCTTATTGATTGCATCAAGTCATAAGCTGAACACTGCTAAGGCTTTGTCGTTGTATTTTCATTTGAAGCATCTGAACACAGACACAAAAAGAAGAAAGAACTTGTTTATTTCCTCTCTAACAATCTTCATTTTGACTTGATCAAACTTTGATGATAATCCCTGATAATCAGCAGGACAGTACACTGTCAGGTTGAACTGAAATAATGAACATGTCACTGATGTCAGGTTGAACTGAAAACTCACTGATCTGGTTCGATTAGTCAGTAAGATGAGTGAGTGAGTTTAATCTTATGCTGCTTTCACTGTTTCAGCAATATCATGGCAGAGGGGGAGATGAGAAATGGGGTTTACACAGCCAATTGTGTTTCCACAAGACTACATGCAGTAATCAAGAGTATAAGTATTATAATTGTGAGTAATGAAGCAGTAATATACTGGGAAGAGTCAGAATGTAATGATGAAACCACAATGCTAGTCTGTCTCACAGTCCCTGAACCATATTATTTTCCCTTCCACCTAACCCTTACTGTTACACAAATGTTGGGAGAAAGTCTAGATTTTGCTTGATATAATTCAGGTGAATGTGTGAATATCATGGCCAAATCAAAGAGGACAGAATTCTGGATAACCAGCTTAACATATCTGAAAAGAATTTCAATGAATGCAAATAACATGCCCTGAATACATAAACAAAGTCAGTCCCCAAGACCCGACAGAACCAAATACATTAAAATTTATTAAAAACGTTTTAGCATGTCTAGGCTGCCTCCAACCTAGAAATTATGCATTGTTCTCTGCTCCATTTGGATTTTACCTCATATATTGCAGATATTAATTTATGATTTATTGATTAACTTTATTTCCTGGACTGACGGTGCGAAATGTTAGTCTGACAAACACTGACAATGGAGTTGATAACTTACACTGAGCATTTCAACTAATCCCACTGAAGTAAATCTAATTTACTGACATTTCAATTCTGACGTTGAAAGTAAAAAGCTGTTCAGTATAACACAGAGAGAATGGATTTACACTACTCTTAGGAACATTTCAGTATCATCACAGTGGGTGACACAAGACATGTGGGGAATCGAACCGGGGCATTCAATCTGCAAGCGAATGCTATGACTACTATCCACATACAGTCAGACTCAGAGAAACCTACAAACAAATCCAAGTTCTGGATGTCATTGCATGATTTTCTCTTTCCTTATCACCTAGATTCAAAACAGGAAACACAATGACATCCTTGAATTCTTGGAAGTCAAGAGCAGTGTGCTATATGTGACGATATAAACTTGTTCCCACTCAGTGTCACAGCTATAATGGCCACCAACCACTTTTTGACATTTTGCCCTTGTTACTTTTTAAATATTCTGCATATAGATTTGACTGTATCAATGATTTTGTTTTAGGTGAAACAATGAACTAATGTGCTTACTCTACCCACACAGTGTTCACGAATGGTGTTTCAAAGTAACAGGACATTGGGTCCTGTAAGTTTCAGATGTCTGTCTGACCCATTGAAAATTCAAAGGACCCATAGAATACAATTAAACACACATTTCAGATTTAACATTTCTCTTAATTGGCATTGAAATTATTTATTAACAGCAAATAAGTGCCACATGTCACATATAGCCACTTCAGTCAAAGTCATTATGAAACATACAGTCAGACACTGGGGCTGGTGGGTTGTAGACTTCTATCGGACATTTGGCGAATCTGCCGGATTTGTTAGAGGGTCAGACGCTATTCGTGAACACTGCCCACAGCAAAAGTTGAGTCATGGTCTGTTATAATACAACAAAATGGAATAGAAATTGTGGTAATAAGACAAGCAAGTGTAGAATATGAAGGTATTGTCTAAACAACATGTGATCATGCACACCTCTTCAGTTACCATAGTTATACAAATCATATTTTGCATTATCTCTGGTATCACATTCTATTATTGCTTTTATTCAAATTAATAGTGAGTGAGTTTGGTTTTACACCACTTTTAGCAATATTCCAGCAACATCAGGACGGGGAACACCAGAAATGGGTTTCACACATTGTACCCATGTGGAGAATCGAACCCGGTCCTTCGGTATGAAAAAAATGTTATGACCACTTCACTTGGCGACCCCACCGCCCATTCAAATTACTAAGAAATGTTTTAGCAATTTGTCATCTGTCAGCACATGTAAACCGATATTCCATCTACTCATGCTTATACATAACACTAAGTAGTATGGATTTCTATGTATATTCAGGTTATGCATTGCTGAAGTAATTTTTTCTTGTCGAAATCACATACCAGTTTGAATTGGCCAACGATATGTGCATTATCATGTTGTTGGTTTTTGTTCACTCATGTAAACCCATCTGTCTTTTCCCAACTTAAACAAGGAGCTGATTTGATTGTTTTTCTGCATTTTCTAACTGGAGGTAATTTTTTATATTACTTTTAGATAAATATTATTCTCTTCAAATAAAAAGAACAACAGTAAGTTGTGAATTATGTGCACGCTACAATAAGGGGTGGTGATATTTATTGGTCCTTAACCATTACAGGTATTCATTAGTGGTGTGAAGAGTCATCGATACGCATCGATGCATCGATCCATGGGCCGCCGATGCAGTGAATCGATACAAAGTTTTACAGTGTGGTATATCCCGATACGATACTTCAAATGAGCCACGATACATCGATGTTAACTTTGAATATTGCCAAATCGCGATATCCGTCAAAAAAGACTTACTTTTGTTTGATGATTAAAATATATGCATACTTATTTTCCCTTCATAAGTTTCTCGGAAATTCTTGCGTCAGGAACTATGTCAAACATAGCGCTCGCATTTTATTAGCATTAACAAAGTCCGTGTATAAACTTAATTATCTCATTTCCGAATGAACATTGAAACACACTGGCTGAAATTGACGAAATACTGTAAAATAGTTTTGCTTTTATCTTAAGGTGTTTCATAGTTGATGTTAGAATTAAATATTTTAGTATGGTGATACGTATCGTATCGCCACTCTTGTATTGGGATTCGTATAGTGTTGCAGCTTAAGTGCATGATACTTTGGCAATATATCGTCGTCACTAAAACGTTTAGTATCGTGATGTATCGTATCACAGGTTGTATGCCAATACCAGCACTAGTAATCATAGGTAACTGATTGCCAGCCAGTAGCAGCCAACCTGAAATATTCATTATGAATACAGTCAAACTTGTATCTGTCAAATCCCTGGAAAAGTCATTGTCTGTCAAACTGTTTCTTTGATCCAGAGAAGTTTGTGATAACAAGGTTCAAATGTGATTCACTGAGATGAAAATATACGTCCTCAGAACATGTACAATATTTCCCTGATCTCATCTTAACAGCTACTGTCTGGCAATACATCACTGAATATTATTGATAACATTCTAGGATTTTACTGAGGTAAACAAGACAAGACTATCACAAATCTTCAGCTTTAACAATTCATGCATAATATACATTTTATAAAGTCATTTAATTTCTTTCAAACCAAAAGAATCATGTGGTTACCCATCTCAGACAAAAATATTTGACATTTATCAGATACAGGGTTTTTTTCAAAGGCAAGAAATCACAATCAGCTGAGCATTGTGTAAGTTACAGTCAGCATAGCATGAAGGCTATTTCAGTGCATTTGGACTAAATATACACCTTCAATATAACCTGGGGAAGGGGATAATAGAACAAAATCAGGGACCAACATGGAACTGCCCCTGTCAAGTGGCAATGCACTGTCGTTATGCCTTCATAATAGTGTATGAATGCTATTCCTGGAGATCGAATATCTCAGTACTGTGACAGGTGACATTGACTTCAGATATGGACATCAGTATGCTTATTAAATTAGTAGGTAATGCTATCCGTTTGCGAGAAATAACTGGAAACACCAACTATGCACATATCACTACATTCTGGACGACATATGACAGAAAACAAGAGAATGGTACATGTCCCCAAACGCCCCCTCATTGAAACCAGATTGATCACAAACGATGCCGATTCGGCTCGCTTTTACAGCTGTACCCACCGTAAAATGTATTCCTTCTACACTTCCGACTGCATAGCACTGTTGTCCGGAGTTGCAGGCCCCCGTGAGGACCTGGTGCCGGTTCATTCTTTACCGATCCTTCCACAAATATGAAATTCGTTTTGACATATTCATCATAAACATGACGAGATCACTAATGTCTCGTCCGTCGCCATTTTGACACAACTTGTTCTACCTTCCTTCCAACTGTTTCCACGATTTATTCATCTGTGCGCCGGCATGAGAAGAAAATCATTTTCATCTCATTTTATCATCAGATATTTCCTCAATAAAATGCACTGACATATGTAACTGTTTGTGAATATATCTATTTATTGTGTATATCTTATTTAGTTGGATGAATGGTCATAAAAATGTGACATGAACGCAAAGCTAATTAAAGATGCAACATCAACATCTGTGTAGACTCCACTGTATAACCGTTTGGAATATAAGATATGGAATGTATTGGAATTTGACCTTTTCTGTCTCATGTCTTGCACAATACGATTGTACAATACGCCCAAACGGGTTTCGAGTTTTTTCCACAGTGGAAAGTAGATGAAATCAATATTTATATCTTTTGGGAAATAGCTCGCTCTCATTTAGCATCAATCTAACTGCGACTGTACTTGAACGCAAGAGTGCTCAATGACGATACCAGCTATTATATTTGTGTAGGTTGCATGAAACTATACAAGTAACAATACTGTTTCCCGGAGGGTTTGAATTATTTGCAGAACTTGATATGACCTAAATATTGCCGGCATTCACTCACTCATCCGCAGACATTTAAACTAAAAAGGGTGACTCCAAATTCTAGAGCTGTGTGTGTTCAAGGATGAGTATCACTGCGTAATATAAACTTCAAATGATTATATAGGAGTTTTGGAGATATGTATGTGGTTTGCTGATTGTGATTAATTATAAGATTCGTCTTTACATTGACAACAGTACTGTAGCCGAACAAACACAAAGAATAAGGACAGATAAAACCTCACCATCTCGGTACAGTGTACGAAATAGCCACTGGTCCGCTAGCCCGTGGCTAGTACAAATCCAGTCGGGCAAGTAAATCTCCACAGTCACTGGTCCAACTGGCTAGTGAACTTTTATGGGGTAATTTTGTAAATATATCGCTCTCTCCGACTTGTTAAGTTATTATACACTGTTAAATCATGCAAGGTTATGGCCTGATAAAGTGTTCATCATATTAGCAGCTTAATGATGAAACCCGGGTCATGCCGACAATATGTTATCCTCATCTTTGTTTGTACCCCTTTGTTTAGTTTCTCCATTCGGGCTAGTGAATTATTTTATGGGCTAGTAACTTTCAGGCATAGCTAGCCCGACTGGTAAACAAAATTTGGAAACTATTTCGCACAATCTCGGCATATACTAAACAGCCACTGTAGCCAGCTGGGTGCCGTTGTCTTTGCTAAGGTGACCGGAACTCCCGTATCTTAACATAGATTTAGGTAGTCTTAGCGCTAAGATCCCTTTAGTCGTCTCGGGAACTTCAACATACCTACGTCAAAAGCAGTAGAGACGAATCATGAATGGACCAATGACGTTTTTCATTTTTGTACGCAACACTCAGTAATATTCAGCACTCTGGATGGCCCGCTGCCATCTTCTGAAACCCGTTAGTCGACTGCCCTCTACAGATATTACGACGTCAGAAGTGGGCGAGTGAGTGAGTCGGTATTAACGTCGCTTTTAGCAATATTCTAACAGTACCACGGCGGGGACACCAGAAATGGTCTTCACATATTGCACTCACGTGGAGAATTGAACCCGGATCTTAGGTGTCCCCAGCCGTGATATAGCTGGTATATTTTCAAAAAGCGGCGTAAAACTATACTTACTGACGTACTCAATGCATAGTTATTCTTCATGTAAAATCCCGATGGCCGAGATGAATCAGGTGTCATATTGCTTTTTCACATAAAAGATTCTATTTGTTGATTGCATCAGCGTCATATGTAAAATACCATACTCTCAGAAGGTGGCTGAATGGGCATGCTTCATCTTCTCATTAAGTGGAATAATGTCATAATCGATATCTAATATTATGACATATATTTGATTATCTGACATTATGATTTTTATATGATTATCTGACACCATGACACATATTTGAAAGTGGGGAATGAATCTGTGAGCTATATCGTCGCTCACAGACAGATGATAGATGTGGTACTATGGCTTTGAAAAAGATGGAGTACGGCATGCCTTTCTGTCGCTGCTTTAATATGACAACAGTGCATTACTGACACCCAATCAATCAAAGTTGTTGGTGTGGGCTGTTGTTTTGGGGGTTTTTTTAAAAAAGAAAAAAACTCCCTTACCGTGGTACATGGAGACATGCACTTGCATTTTCACCCAAATACCAGGCTGTAGACACTTGCAGTAAAAGGTTATATGATTATTCAGTGATAGTATGGCAGTAAATTGTATTACCTGAAAGTAGACATAAAATATTGCTGAATTTGTACGTTTTCAAAAGTGCAATCTGTCAATTTGATAGTTGCCTTAGTAGTACATTTATTGACATTTTCTAACTTTGGAGAAGTATTAGAGCCATGACTCGAAGACCGTAGGATTGACCAATGTTTGAAACCAACCCCCATTTTTGCCATGACGCTCAGACGCTATTTTTTCAAACAACTATTGGCCTCTATAACTATTTAAAATATTTTATTATTCAATGTTTATAGCGCTGTCAAATTTGGACAACAACATAATATCTGTATCCTAAGTTAGCCACCACTGAACATGTCGGATATGGTGGTTTTCGTTAGAGTGTATTCGATTGTCACATATCTGTAATTATAACGTATATTCAACAATATATATATGCCTTGGAAGTTACTCGTACTTAACATTTTGTTTTCATAGAAACGACCAGGTGGATTTTATTTGTTCAAAACAAGTGAACCAAGGTCTCGTTTCGTTCATGCATTAATGGGTTTCTTTACCAAACTGATGAAAACAGAACGTAACGACATACCTAGAATAACATACCTAGATGTAACATTCCGGAATAATAACTTTTTGCTTGGAATAAAGAATAATTAGGGTATAGTTCAAGTGGAATTACTACAATGTATTTTTCGCATTAGGCTACGATTAACATTTCACTCGGAAATAAATATCAAAGAACAGGTAAGAAAAGATGAATTGTCTATTGCAGCACGATGTCATAAACTTCAAAGTTACAACTCTTGCCAGTCACTGATATTGATGTGTTTGAATTGGGTAAGACTACCACAGATGAAGTGTCATTGACATCACTGAATGGATTAGGCATAGAAAATTAAATTAAATGACAAGTCCAGTTACAGTTGGCCGTTATCAGTTCTGAGGTAAGTAGTTTCATATAAATCCGGAGAACCAAATGACAGAATATGTTCATAATACATCTCTGTTTTGGGTATTTTATCGTTCATATAGTGTATATTTAATTAATGTGTACCCTCAACTAAAATTTGTCATTCTCAATTGATTTAGAGATGAAGACAGACACTTTCAAACGAGAACTTGCTGTATAACTTAAGGGAGATAACTCTATTATTATAAGTGAGAAATGTGGACAGTCATTTTGAACTTTCGTCATTGGATCGATCACGAATGAGTTCGAGTCCTACTGACAAAAGATTTTTTTCAGCTTTCAGAAAATGAGATATTTGTTTCACTCTCCAAGTTGAGAAACAGAACAAACAAGATTGGTGGTGCAAACATATTTTACTTTCTGTCTTTAAAATCACTTGGAAGGATTCAATATATGGCATGCATCATGCAAACAAACTTGGATTGCTTTTGAAAGAAACCATTCTACTTTTGCTCAGTGCAGGACAAAGGCTTAACATGGTGATGACAAAATATAACTGACCATGGACACTACAATTACCCCATTCCAACGTTTTCATTCCTATATTTCTTAAGAAATTGATTATGTAAATAGTCCTAATATTTATTTGTTTTGCCTTGATGTACCATACTTTAGCAGGTAACAAATGCGAAAAGGATCAATTTAGGTAGTGAACCAATAGATAACTTGAAATCTTCATATATCAGGGTGTAGATGGGAAATAAAGAGCAAAAAACAAAATAAAGTTACCCTTGTTCAACACAGCTACATACACAAAAGACAAAATACTAGAATAACCTTAAAGAATTAGCTTTCATGAAGAGCTATTTCTCAGTTGTAATTCCAACACTGATGCTTAAATCCTGCACATTAACATACAATAAACTCTGGTATCACACCACCAGCAACACAATATAAATAAAACAGTCATATGTTTATGCCTGTAAATAAATACACATGAATTTATATAGAATTCCATGATGTGTGACAAGTACATGTTGGGAAATATGTCACATTGAAGGCAAAAATACAGAAATAACCTGTGAGATCACACCAAAATAATTAACCTAATTATGGCTGTTCTGAATTCTAAACATTATTACGGTACAATATGTACTGTGGTTCAAATTTGTGTTTCAATTTTTTTCTCAAGGAATTCAAACTCAAATCAACAATGAAAACTTAATTATAAAAAATGTCGACCAGAAATTACCATGATTCCTCGTCACAAACATCTGGAAACATAATATACAGTAATTTTTCAACAACTGCATCATTTTATCTACTCTACTGAGATCATAGGCAGGTATTATTTGATATGGTGAAAGACAATAACATACAAAAGACACGGAAAGAATATCAGTGAAACAGGATATTCATGTTACTATGGTTAAATATGTTTCACAAGCACTTAACAACACGACATATTGGTGAAGGCTACAGGTATTATGTGTAGACTTCTCGTTGGTATAAATTAGTGTTGGGAATTGGATAAAATCTCATAATTGATGATTGGTTCATTACAACCGATCAATCATCGAAAATAATTGGTCAGCATCATTTATCAAATTTTTCTGGTTATGTTTGTTACTGCACAAAAAACAAAGAATACACATGTAGTTCTTATGAGTCTTTTTGCAAATTCCACAAAATGCATGTGCAAATTTAACATCTTTAAAGGCTGACTAGTATGTTTAAGAACATAAATTTCCTGGAGTCTTTAAGATAAATTCAATCCTGACTTGGATCGAGCTTGTAATGTTTATGAAATGTAACAGACAAAACCAACCTTGTGAAAAATATTGTTAATGCAACCAAGTG